TCCGTAAACTATCTGCTGGCCGTAAACCCTTGTTCACGGTCGTACACATCTCTTAAGTGGTGAAAAAAAACTTGTTCCCTCGATTCAATCTAGTCCTGATAACATTCCTTAACCAAACACAAGTGTTTTTCTAACACTTTATCTAACGAAATCGCTAATTTAGATACATATATGTATTTATCTAATATTAGGATTTTGTTAAGTGTCACGAACAACAACTCGAGGATTTTCCAGTTCAACCCTTCCACCCGACAAACACTGAGTTCATACCCCTACGTTTTTATGATTTTAATCATTTTCAGGGAGGGATACAAGCCAAACACAAATGATTTTGAGAAACTAAAACAAAAGGTTTTTAATCAGTTTAAAACATATACAATTGATACAATCCAACGATTTCCATAAAATATATAGATATTTTATCCCTTTTGTATAAGGGACGTTTTCTAAACATAATTGCATAGTTTTCAAAACAATTCACGAACATAACATTTCAGTCAAACTATAATGGGTTAATATTATAAAAGCCTTAAATTTTTAACCCATAATTGGAAAAAGCCCTAATATTGTTTTTATTATTGCTATGGCCATAACTTTTTCACAGAATTATTACTCTAGCCCACTTAACGAGTTTTATGGTTAACTTGGTTAATTTTTTTGCAAAATCAGTCCAAAAAGTTCATATTTGGTCCCTGAGGTTTGGAAAAAATTACACCACATGATTTTTTAACTTTATTTTTTGTTTTTTGTATACTTTATCTATTTTCGGTTTTTTTTATAAATATATATACATTTTTAATTTTCTTTTTTGTATATACTTTATTTATTTTCATTTTTTAACTTTATTTTTCATCAGTTTGATTTATTTACCTTTTTACCTTTTATTTTCTATTTTATAGTGTATATATAGAGTATATTAGAGTTTTTTTTGGTTTTTTTTTCATATTTCTTTTCGTATTATATTTTAGTTTTTTCATCTTTTTATTTTTTTTCTTATTTGTTTTCTAATTAAGAAAAAAATATAATCCTTGAGAAGCTTATCTTCATGTGCACTCCATGCACCTTTCTTCAATCCTAAACCATTACTTATGCTTGGTGTCATTTTTTTTGTGCTAATTATGAGAATGTTATCCGTATATATATATATATATATATATATATATATATATATATATATATATATATATATATATATATATATATAAACGTGAAGTTCAAGTTCTGGTGAATATTTCTCTATTTATGCCTTAATAACGTACAAAAGTCAATGCATAAACCTAATACACCACCTCTTTAATGATTAAATTGGAAAACAAATAAGAAAAAAATTAAAAGATAAAAAAATTAAAATGTAATACGAAAAGAAATATGAAAAAAAAAAACAAAAAAAGAACTTTAATATACTCTATATATACACTATAAAATAGAAAACAAAAGGTAAGAAGGTAAATAAATCAAATTGATGAAAAATAAAGTTAAAAAATGAAAATAAATAAAGTATATACAAAAAAGAAAATAAAAAATGTATATATATTTATTAAAAAACGAAAATATATAAAGTATACAAAAAACGAAAAATAAAGTTAAAAAATATTGTGGTGTAATTTTTTCCAAACCTCAGGGACCAAATATGAACATTTTAGGACTGGTTTTGCAAAAAATTTAACCAAGTTAACCATAAAACTCGTTAAGTGGGTTAGAGTAATAATTCTGTAAAAAAGTTGTGGGCATAGCAATAATAAAAAAAATATTACGGCTTTTTCCAATTACGAGTTAAAAATTTAGGGCTTTTATAATATTAACCCAATTATAATAGGTATAGTTTGGGGAATTCATTACAAGTTTTACCGATGCGAACTACTTACTTGATCAAACATATAAACTATGATAGATTTAGTTTATGATACTCATTTCTATGTTCAAATAACAAGAATATAACACTAAGTAAATATTTAAGTATAGTTATTTATACTCTACCAAATATACAAACGATTTCAATTACGAGAACACGATACAGAACAACACGTAAACTAGTTAATACAGGATTGTGAGATATCTCTTCAATTGTACCCTTCGGGGTGCTAGTAAAATCCTCTACATTTAGTATAGCCAGAGTCTCCTTGAGGGAGAGCGTGAGATTTGTGAATAGATCTATTCGGGACTAACAATCCCACACCTAAACTGCTAGCTACAGCCTACAGTTAGGCAGGGATGCCTGGGGTGACAAATATCATACCATTCTGATGCCTGAAGAACATCCCAGAGGTCACTAGTCATATCAAGCATGGTTATACCAAAACCCACAACAATATAACTAACAGATGTGGGATTGTCAGTCATATCAAACATGGTTATACGAACTCACAATAGTATAAACTAACATTTGTTTATGGAATTTCATTCTTCATTAGTTTCATTTAAAGTAATAAAACTACTATTCATTACATTAGAGGATTCCATGGATACACTGCTAGGTTTTATTTTAAATAATAAAACTACACTACATACTGGTGGTAGCCAGGTTTTTCAAACAGAACATACACTACATACTGGTGGTAGCCAGGGTTTTCAAACAAGAACATATTATACATACAGTAACAAACAACATGTTAGAAACTATTGGACTTTCTTGGGAAACATGCATATATTTTTCAGATTCATTAACAGGTTTTCACTACAAAACATTCTTATGAACTCACCAGCTTTATGCTGATACGTTTTTAAAATCGCTTGTATTCTCAGGACACCAGTAGATAGGTACACTCGTCGGCTTTTTAGAAGACGGAACATTTGGAGTCTCGTCTTTACCTTTTTGCTACTTTGATGTATACAGACCATGAAACCAATAGATGTGAATATTCATATTATATTGTAATGGTTGTGTTTACTTTGATTGCTATGATGCAATTGTTATGATACTACACATGACATCCTCCACTCCCAGACATTTCCGTCGTTTGTTTTACAGTTTGGGGTGTGACAGATTGATATCAGAGCTATTGTTTATAGTGAACTTAGTATACCAAACCTTACAAGGTATACAACTATAAACACTAAGGGGATGAAGTGCTCTGAACTAAAAGTATATTTTTAAAATATAAGTATTTTACAATAAGTATACAAGTATACCTACATACTAGAAACAATATCATAAGTAGAACAAAACAAAAGTATTTGGATGTTGGAAATTGCGGTTAAACCTAGACAGTTATGTAATCATGTCTAAGGTCAATATATTTATTCGAGACATGACAAACATGTGTTTGGGAGTGAGTGTCATGTTGTAGCAGGCCTAAAACTTACCAAGCTATATACAACAAAATATCGATAACATAAAACGTACAAGTTAAAATACTATAGGGGTATTTTAGCTAGAGCCGAATACAGTGTGGAGATTCATTTCAAGTGTTGCTACTCATTTCTTCTTAGCGATAATTTACTTGCATTAGTAACATTTCCTTGTTTATCGCTTAGTAGAACACTTTATCTATCAGACTGAGATATATCTTGTTTCATATTTCTTGATTAAAAATCTAAGGGACTTACCATCATCTTCTTCCTGATTATTTTTAGAACAAGATGCCTCCGAAAAAAAGACCCAACAGAAAAAACAAGAATCCCCCAACAGATCCGACATCACCACCTCCTCAGTTCGATCATGTCATGTTCCAGGCAGCAATCACGGCCGCTGTGGCTGCCGCAATGTCACATATAAATTATTTTTTCAATTAGTTTGTAAAATGTTAAAGTTGCATTGATTTCCTTTCTTTTTTCAATTACTTTATAAAATGTTTAATGTTTATATAATAATATTAAGCTTTTATTTTTTGTAAACCCTGTAACATAAGGGTCTCATACAGTTTTTTTAATTAGAGTTAGATTTTTGATTGCCAATAAACATTCCTTTTTTCAATTTTCGATTTTTTAAGTCGGCATAAATGGAGGAATTAAGCCATCAATTAGGGTTGAATGTTGCCTTCGGTGAACATACGCGCGTCATCCTCACGACCTCGTTTGACCGCTCACCTACGGCAATCCTCAGTGCCTTCAACCTCTCTCTGACGATCCCTCCGGCCTCTACGGCTCCACCTCCGGCGACCCCTCATTGCTCCATCTCCAATCTGTGATTCAGGGTCTTATGTTTTTTCTTTATTTTTCTGATTGTCTTTTTCTATTTTTGATTTGTCTTTCACTCGATCTTCTTATCTTTCTGATTTCTGTCTTCGTTTTATTTTATATGTATTTATGTTTCTAGTAATCGGCAAAGATTATTTGATCAAATTAATGATGTTTTTGATTTATGTCTTTTAATTTTTATTTGATTAAAGTAAGTTTTTCTAAATTTTTTCATGGGTCTCTAAAATCATACCAACTGTTGTACTTTCCAAGATAGTGATTTTGTATGAGTGTAACTGAGCAACAAACTTAAGTTTATTCTTGTTAGTTGTTAATGTTTTGTGCAACAAGTTCAAATTTTTGTAGTAATGTTTTGACTCTTGATTTTATGTGTCTGACTTTATGTATAATTTTGGTGTGAATTGTGATCATGATGTCTTGAAACACGACTTTAATATAAAAAGATCAGTAATTTTGCTATTATAATGTTTTAATTATTTGCTTATTTATGGATTTTAAAATTGCTCTAATAGGTAATGAACATATATATTAAGTTTTGTAAGCACGTAGCTACTGTTCACTATCTGGTATCGTAAACTACGGAATTGATAGCATACTGTTGTTGATTTTGTGATATAAATTGGTTTCACCATGGGGGATTTGATAACATGGCAGATTAGATTTGTCACGAGTTTAATATTTTTCACTCCTCCAGAAGTGATTAAGTTTTGTTTTATTTCTTTTTTACTTAATGCACTTAATATATAAAAAACTGAATGTGTTAAGCTAGGAAAGGGTTGTCTTTTTTTTGCATGCTTTAAATATAAAAGAAATGCTCGAAATCTATGCAAATGAACTATTGTGATATTGTTTTCAATCAGGCCATGGAAACCCAACATTTTTATCATCCATTGGTAGCAAAGACATCAACTATTAGTCTTTTGAATGTTAGAGGGACGTCAAACCTTGGTTTCGATGCAACCTTCATAAAGCCACACAAACACAAACAAAACTCTTTTCAGGTATGTATGATATCTTATCTTTTCCCCTCAAATCTCATGATACAAAAACAAAAAACAAGGTCAATTTTAAAAACGATTCATTCAACAGAGCGGATGCGGAGACTACTACAAGATTAAGCATGGGAATTGTGAGATGACAAGGTCATATAGGAAAGTTGCATCAATTGTGGCCAACATAGAAGAATACAAGTGTGTGAAAGAAGTAGTTATGAGAAACCAATCCGAGTTCCAACAGAAGTTGATGATTTGGGCAGAATACAAGTGCGTTCCAGCGATAATAACAGCCATTAAAAGAGTCATGATAAGTCAACTGAAGCTCCTAGTGATGCTGGCGATGGCTGGAATGACCATGTCAATTAATTTCGTGTTCATTTTCTTGCGAGACTCTGCACCCGACTTCCCACCTCTTTGGTTCAAAGCTCTTACTGCAACCATTCCATTTTTACCTGTCCTTCTTAACTTCTTCTCATCCCCAAAACCACCACCGTCAGATATACAGTTGCTGCCTCCATTCTCGGACAGACTCTCGGATTAGTGGCCCTCAAACGCTTTTACGCCAACCGAACCTTCTCTCACCGCCTCTGACTTCTCGTGATGCGTCTTATATTCTATGTCATGTGAGTGTTTGTTGAAAAGGTCTAATAAACCCATCTAATCATATTGCTCATTGCTTTTTTGCTAATATAAATATATTAATCACGTTGATTATCAAAAATGATCAATTCACAACCCGCTAAAGGCTTAATTATATGTAATTACATTGACAATAAAGTTAGCCCAAATCATATCTTTTTGGTCGGTGATATTTTGCTTGGTTTTGAGATAAAAGAAAGTACTATTTTATAATTAACTAGGTTATTATTACTAGTGACAATTTAAAAAAATGCTTTTTATTTATTTTTCAGTATATAAATAATAGTTTTCAAAAAATAGAATGACATGTAAGGAAATGTTTTATATGTATTTTTTAAAATCTTCAAAACAGCCCATTTTACATGTAAATGTTATAAATGGCATTTTTCAAAAAGTAGAATGTTATAAACTTGTTTATTTGATTTTACATCAACTTGTTTGAAATATAATGCTAGAGAATAAATAAATATTCAATTGTTATAAATAACAAAAGGGATAACGACATAAGAACCCTTAAGTTTGTATGTTTTTGTCGGTTTTACCCTTTTGTAGATTTTAAGTTCATTATAAAACCAAATATTTGCAACTATTTTTCAATTTTAACTTTGGTTTATTAAATCCTTTAAGTTTAGCAGAAATGTTTGGTTTTACTTTTTTTTTTCTGGTTTACAAAAGTCCTTAAGTTTGGTTTTCTTAAGTTTGGTTTTCTGATTCATTAAACTTCTTAAGTTTGCCCAAAAAAAATTAATTTTACCGGATAGGTTTGCAAAAAGGTAAAAGTGAAAAAGAGGTTGCAAATTTGAGACTTTAATGGATCTAAAATACAATTTTAGGTAAAACCAACAAAAGAAGGTAAATATGGCAGCTGTCCATAACAAAATACCAAAACAAAATACCAAAGCAAATAATTATCATCATAACTTTCGGGGATGAGTGTTTTTGTTTAGTAAGTTTAAGAGTCCCTGAATAACTTAATTGTTTGCCTACATTTCCATGTAAAGTATATAGTTGTAAGACAACTAGAAACTAAAACTTATTACATACTCCTTTGACTTGATTCGGTGCGTTTCCAAATATTATAAATGATGTTTCCTTGATAAATATTGCTACACAAAAGTAACATCAACAAATAAGACAGAAAAAAGTATACGATTTGTAGTTGTGTATTACCTGCACCAATTTCTGTAATAAAATGGTCACTTTGGAGTCTATACGACCGAATGTTCAAAAGCAAAAAAAAACTCTTTAAATAGTTATCATGCAATTTTGAAAATTTTAATTGATATGAAATTTAGGTAGGAAAACCAAAGAGAAAGCTCACTCATAGGATTATACCAAAGGATCTCCACAACTGGTTAATTGGTAATGTGAATGTCGTGCCTATTTTAAAGCCAATATTGTTGGCAGGTGACCAATCCAGATATTTATTTTCAAAAGTCCAAACACATGATACTTCGATAACTCATAAGCTAGTTTCAAACATACCTTGTTACGGCTCAGGTGTTACCTTGGATTGCCATTATGGTGTTAATGAAGTATGGTTGCATATATTGTAAATAAAATTCCATCGACCAACAATGAAGATGACCCAAGTTCACATAGTTTTACTATTATTAATTGCAAAATAAACTTTTTTTATGATACTTGTAGTTGTCATTTTTTGTGGTTTTGGTCCAAAAAAAATTGGTGATTTTGATCCCTCAAAAAATTTAAAGGCTTGAAATAACGATTTTTCCTTTTTATTTGTTTTAATGGTAATTAAGTATTAGAGTAACTTACACTTACACCATTGCTCAACAAAAAATTTCCCGAGTTTGTCATTCTTAAACATGCTACAACGTTGTCTGTAACAAACAATCATAAATTGTACGCTTAGGTATGGTATGATTTAAGGGGTAAGGGTCGTTAAAGTCAAAGTTGATTTTTCCTTCAAACCACGATAAAAGAGATATCTCTTGGGTCGTTGATGTGCACTGATAGAAAATGTAGCTAAATCTATATAGGGTTATTAGTCAATTAGTCTAACCCATAATCACTTTTTATCTATAATGAGAAAAAGAATCCTTCAATGCAAGAGCTTGACAAGAATTCCATGTCTTTTGTGATTCATACTAAATATCGAGAACAAATGAAATATGATCACTTATATGGAGCTAGATCAAACCTAAGGGTGATCTAAGTAGCTGTGTGGAAGATATAATCTATGTGAAGGTGTGAATTTGACAATAGTAGATATGTGAGTTGGTTGGAGATATGTCCACCACACATACAACATAATGGCAACATACAATTTGGTTTGCATGGGCTTGTATGGGTTACATACTTACCCAAGATGTAAAGAAGGAACAAAGCTAATAGATAAAAGAGGAAAGCTAATTTTTTATTCATTGAACGCCTAATAAATAATTAGAAATTAACTAGATTAAATTATTATTTATTAATTTGATATTAATAGACAACTAAATTAATCAAATTTGAATTAACGATGCCTAAAAGAATTAAATTAGTTATTTAGAATAATTAATAGATAATTTAGAAGGATAATTACCAAGAAATAAAACAATATTATCATTGGATTCAAATTAGGAAATGATTGGATTTTCCTCATCTATATAAAAAGTGGAGCAAGGCACCATAAGAAACCCTAATTTAGGCCTTCGTTAGCCAAATTATCTCCTACCTTCCCTTCCTCTTGATCGTTGACTCTAAGGAACCTCCAGGCTTCCTTCAGCTGAAATCCCTTATCCTCTACAACTAGGGTTCTTTCTTGCTTGACTTGTCAAAAGGTGCGATACTATCAAAGTGACTTTGGTCTAGGTCATTGATCTTCCAACAAAGCATTAAAGGTAATTTTTAACCACTCTTTCTCTCTCTCTATCTCTCTCTCATGCTTAGAATTGTTATTAGTGGAAACAATCACGATCTAAGATTTAATTATAAATGTTTTAGTTTTGAATACTTTCATTGCTATTTTTTTGATTGATGGTTTTATTATGAACATGAAGAACACATTATCATCGAACACTATTAAGTATTATCAATATATTTTTAAAAAAGTTTTACGTAACATCCCTTTTTGAGGTAATTCTTATTTGAATGTTTGGACCGCGATTTGATGAGGTAGAAGTCCAAGGTATCGAAGAATTATGTTTGGATCTAAAGGAGGAAGGCTCTCGAGCTAAAGATGAAGTTGGGCTTAATCGGATTTTGGGCTTGTTGGCTTGGTGGAAGGCTTACCATGACGTGGTGAATGCAGCAACCAAAGCCCATGAAGATTAGATTTTCTTCTATATTTAAAGGCATTAACTCCAGGTTTAGGTCATTCTCTTTAGCCTCCATCCCCAAGTCATAACCTAGCCTCCATGCATGATTGTGAGCTTATTTTCTTAGCTTTAGGCTTGTTCTCTTGGTTTTGTGAAACTTGAGGAAAAAGGGACTCCATATTGGTGCAAGGAAGAAAGGACCTAGCTTAGATCCATCATGTACTTCATATTCCTTAAGTCATTTGAGGTTTAAAGTTCATATATTGATCTTTATTCTTGATCTAAGTTTATGCTCATTATGGATGGTTTTGGTCCCTTCTATGGATGATCTTGGAGTTGAGGAACTCTAGAGCTTGATATGGTACTTTTATGATTATTGGAGCTCTATTAAGTGGGAAAAAGGACCATGCTTTGGTTTTCTTAAATCCATGCACAAAGGCTTAGCCCTTAAAGAGCTTAATGGACTTAGGGCTTAAGATATTTCATTATGGTGATATCTTATTGGATAAAGTTGGAAACTCTATCCATTAAGTCGTTGAGAAGAACCAGATATGAAGTTATGAGCCTTAATCTGTAAGGATTAAGCTCTTAATGAAAAAAAGACACTCTGACTGAAACCACGGTGTGGTGGCCAGTGGCGGACCTTAGTGGTGCCCTAAGGGTCATGGGCCACTGCTCCGACGCCAGCACGTAGTGTAAAAAAAAATTAATGTTTTTTTAATGTTTTTTCTATTGGGTGCACCGACTTAAAACACGAGTGACACTACTAATATAGATTTATTTGGAAAAAAAATTAGTGTCACCCCTACAAAAATGTTTTGCATCCGCCACTGGTGGTGGCACGCTGCAACGCGGCTGTTTTTCCTAGACTTAGCCACAGTGCAGCTATGGACTTGCCACGACATGGAGGTCGTTGACCATTAACTTTTGTTGACCGTTGGTCATTGACTTTTGACTAATTTGGCCTTAGGTCTATCTTGAAGGATTTGGGTTTTGATTGAGATTTGATCATTATTCGGTGATAGTCGGTTCTTGAGACTAATTAGTACGAGGAGTTGAGAGTGTAGAAGTGCTTCTTTGATTTTGCGATTTAAGTGAGTCTTCTCACTATGCCACATGTGACATTGTATATCCTTTGTATGACATGATATAGGTACTATTATAATACATGTATACTAGTTGACTAAGCTAACTCGTCATTATGTATGTGTAGTATAGGACACTTAGTGTTATGATATGCTGGACTAGTAGGGCCTTGTCTATGGATTGTATGATACTAGGTGTCATGATTTGTTAAGGTAATTATAGTACTGGTTGGTCGATGAGTGGATACCATAAGGGTTGTATGTAGTTTAAATTAGATAGCCTGAGAACTCTTGGTATAAAGTTGTTGAATCTATATGCTCAAGAATCATTATTGTATTATATTCTTAATAACATATGATCCTATGGGGTCACACCTTTAACATATTCTTATCATGTTGGCACATTTTGAATAATTATTATTAATACGATTATTAATAAATAAAATCAACTCTTGTATTTAATTAGGGGATTAATATTGTTTTTGTGAAGATAATAATTAAAGAGATCATAACCAGTTATTATATCATATGGTATGATTTAATAGATCATGTAC